TCCTCACTGTCAGTATCTCAGCTCTCCTGGGCTCTGCAAGAGCCTGTGGTGGGGCCCAGAATCTCCACTCCTTATCCCAGGCAACTTCCCCTTGCACATCTCACCTTTGGCGAGGAACGTGGGCTTGGGGAACACCCAGTCAGCCATGGTCTAGCTTGGAGAACCTGTAAAGTCATCAAATGAGAGAGCTAGCAGCACAGGGCTGAAAACTGGGGGCCAGAGAGGAAAAGTGACTACTTCCCTACACCATACCTGCCCTCTCCTTGTGCCATCAACAATTTCAGCCTGCCATGGACTCCCCATTCCTGGAGGGAAGCATGGTGTCTCTCCCTTGGTGCCTGCTATGGCTTCCTCTTTTCCTCTTTAGTCCAGTAACCACTTTGTTCCTCCCCAATCCCTCTCAGCAATTTTTTTTTTTTTTTTTTGAGACATGGTTTCCTCATGTTACCCAGTGTAGTCTTGAACTCCTGGACTCAAGCAATCTGCCCTCCTCAGCCTCCCAGAGTGCTGGGATTATGGACATGAACCACTGTACCTGGCCAGGAATCTTTAAAAAATGCAATTCTGATTACATCCTGCTCCTCTGCCTAAAAACATGCAATGGCTTTACGATGGCCTCCAAGCCCTGTTGTCTGGCCCCTGCTTCTTTCTTTAGGCTCATTCACTCTCCTGGTTGTGTGCTGAAACTGGCTCCTCCAAGCTCACAAGAGCCAATGGGAAATTCAGGAATTTGTTGGTAGCTGGAAATTGATCACAGTGGGGATATTTTATACTAGAAAAATCAACAAATGCTAAAAATCCTATTTTTTTTTTCTGGAGAGCCTGTTGGTCAGGCCACCGCCGCTCCATCCCCACTGTGCTGTTCCCTCACAGGGCTGCTGACACACTCTCTCCTCTTTCTTTGCTGAGTTAACTCTATTCTTTGACACCTCAGCTCAATTCTTACTTCTTCCAGGAAACTTCTGTGATATATCTGAATAAGTCCTTTTCTTCTTAGCCTGTATGACATTTGTAATTTTACATGTGTGAGGAATGATGAGCATCCGTCTTCCCCATGGGAATGTAAACTCTCCATGGCAAGAGAATCATGCCGGGTTTCACTCACTCTATTTGCTCTATCACCTGGCACAACACCTGATAATGGAAACTCAACATCTGCTGAGTGAGTGAATGAATTAGAAAAATATGCACTAGACAAGGTTCTGGCTTCTGTGGCAGGACTACTTTTGATCCTGCGTCTCCACATTCTCCTCTGCATTTTCCAGCCTCTCTTGCTGTTATGTTTGTCTTGTTACCAAATTCTGACCAGTGGAATGGCGATGCTCTGTGTCCCCCATTTCCAGCTGTGTCCTCTAGAATGCCACAAGTGTCCTTCTCTTCCCTGCATGGCTGGAAGTGAAGGAGTCACAAGACAGAAGCAAACCAGATTCCCGAGTCACCAGTTGGAGAAGAGCTGCCCAAATGAGTCATCTGACTCTCCTTGAATTGAGAAAGGAGGGAGGCTTATACTTTTATTGAGTTCATCTCTGAGGTTTTGAGTTAATTTGTTATTGCAGCAGAATCAGGTTTACCCTGACCTAAAACACCATCCTGGTTGTCATTAACTCCTACCCTTTGGGCGGGTCACAATGTCTCTGAACCTCGGTTTCCTTATTGATAAAATAAAAGGATTCCCCAGGTGATAACTGAAATCCTTGCAATGTTAAAATACAGTTATTCTTCTGATATATTTCCCTGCATAGCACCATGTGCAGACACCACAGATGCTTGCTAAATAAGAGAACCTCCTATTTCTGAAATCCTTTTCTCCAGATGAAAGCATTTTAGTACCTTAGAAGTTCAGAGTGATTACTCAGAATATTTAAACATCTAACATGCACAATATTGATCAAAATAACAAGGGGGACATTTCATCAAGAGGCTGGGGAACCTTCAAAGATCCATCCCTCAGCCTCGTAGATGCTTCCTAACCATCTTGCTCTGTCTGCCCTTAGAAATGTGGCCTCAGCACTTTCAATTATTTGCAGGTCTCAGCCTCTAACTGTCTTAACTGATCTGCTCAGCTGACTCTGTCAACTGCCTTTCCCAATAGGCATACTCTCATTTTTCAAAGGAAGCTAGCGATGCCTTTTTTCAGTGGGTTGTCATTAAAGGCCACTATCTGCATCTCAGTAACCAAGAAGCAAACGTCGCATCTTTGATGAGATGTCTGAGGGTGACTGGTTGGGTAGCAAAGGTAGCTCAGAGTCCTGACGGCTCAGCTGGGCTTCAGATCCCCTGGGGTCTATTCCTCGCTCTGCCATAGGTTTATTGTGTGTGAAAGAGGCAAAGGCAAGCTTTCCTTCTTGGGCTGGGGTCCCTCTTCCTGTTATAAATGAAGGCCACTGCAGCTGCTGTCAGCTCAGTAACCATAGTAACAATGGACCACGTGACAGGTGTCTGATCCCCATCAGACATCTTCTGATATTAAGTGTTCTTCATCCTTCCCCTTTAACCCCACCTCAAATCCCGTTATGAGTAGTGGCACTGAGGGTCTCCCAGGGCAGCTGTTTGAGCATGGGAGACTTGGAGCTGCCACCATTAAGTAAACCTCTATTTCCCCAAAACATTTTGCATTGCCAGGCCCCAGAGCCAAGAAAACCTCCCAGGGCAGCTCTTGTGTGAGAGATTGCTAAGGCTGTCACCAGGGACTACAGCGATTCAGCTCCAGTTTGCAACAAATGGGGCTCAGCAGGAAAATGTGCCTTCATACAGCAGGCACACAATACATACTTGTGGAAAAGTCAGCTTACTAAAATGGAGCTCATATCACAAATGGGATTCCTTCAGATCATTGGAAATTCTACATGAGATGATCATGTGAATTATTCCACAGTTATGAGTGCCTGTTATATGCACCCCTGGGTGATGACATGGAGGCTCTGAAGATGTTAGCTTGCTGAAGGAATCCCAAGTCCATGCGGTGGCCAAGGCTCAGGGGCACATTGGGAAGTATGTAGAGAGGAGTCTGGAGGGCTTCACAGGGACCGTATCACAAAGGGATTTGGATAAAGGTTGAGTCTTTTGTGTTTATCCTTGGAGATCCTTTGAGAGCTGTTACTCATGTGAATGACATGATCAGCTTTGTATTTTCGACACTCCCTTTTGGTGCCTCTGAAGGAAAGAGCTAGTGAGAGACTATTGTTTTGACCAAATAATTAGTGTTCTAGAATTTCTGAATCCAGGCCTTAAGATAACTGACAGCTTCTGCTTCCTTCCTCCTAGAATCTAGCCACTGTGCTGTGAGCAGTTCCAGCATCATGGAGAGGTGACATAGAGGAGAACAGAAATGCACGAGTTGACAGCCCCATTGTGATCCCATTGGCAGCCAGCACCTACTGCTCGCACACGAGTGCCTCATTGTGCCATCTTGGACTTTCCAGGCCAGCTGAACCCCCAGATGACTGCAGTCCCAGAAGACAACATGTTGAGCAGGAAAACCACCCAACTGAGCCCAGCCAACCCACAAAATCTTGACAAGTGACAAAATAACTGATCTAAGCCAGTAAATCATGGGCGGGTTTTTAATGCAAGTGTAGATAGCTGAAAACCGGAGGGCAGGTCGGATCCCAGGTGGTGGTTTGAGCTGTAGCTCAGAAGAAAAGGTCTGGCTGGAGAGGCCGTAGGTTTAGGAGACTTCGGCTTCATAGAAATGTGAAGTCTCTATCGTGGATGAAATCACCTACACCCCTTTTCACACATGCCCAGCGCACCTAGAGCACAGCTGACCCACAGCAAATGTTTGCTGAATTAAATTCAACACTCCACATAATGAAAAATACTAAAAAGTCACTGTTTTCTTGAGCTAAGACAGTCCTCCTCATGCCAGGAATTCTGATTTCCCCTTGCTCTAAGCATACTTTTTTTCTTTTTCTTTCCCATTTATTTATTTTATTGCATTTTAGGTTTGGGGGTACATGTGAAGAACATGCAAGATTGTTGCATAGGTACACACGTGGCAGTGTGATTTGCTGCCTTCCTCCCCATCACCTACATCTGGCATCTCTCCCCTTGCTATCTCTCCCCAGCTCCCCACCCCCCACCGTCCCTCCCCTATTTCCCCCCAACTGACCCCAGTGTGTAGTGCTCCCCTCCCTGTGTCCATGTGTCTAAGCATAGTTTTATGCTCACCCTCTCTGAATCAAATGTGTACTTCTAGCTGCTGTGTTTGATCTTCTTTATCCTCCTGAGACAAATCCTTTTGAGTGTGGACTTGGAATCTGCAAACATGAGCTTGGGTTCAGAGGGATGATTTTTCTACCTGTGCACCTCTCTTCTGAGCCTCAGCTCCCTCATCTATATATAAAGATAAGAATACCTGCTGATTAATTAGGTAACAAAGGTGAACTCTTGGGTAACCCTCAGGGGATGAGGCTGTGCTGTTCACTGTCAGCAGGGGATGCGGCTGTGCTGTTCACCTTCAGCAGGGATGCGGTTGTGCTGTTCACCTTCAGCGGGGATGCGGCTGTGCTGTTCACCTTCAGCAGGACACAGGTGCAGCTTCAACCCAAACACCCCATGGGTTCCCTCTACCCGTGGCCTGTGCCTCCTCCCTGTAAGAAACATCTCCCAGGTTGGGGAGCTGGGAAATCTCCAGCTTTGTGTTTGAAAAGCTCTCAAAGGACTCCATTTGACAGCCACCTTGGCCAGCCACTGGGGGAAAAGGAGGGTGAGCAAGAGGCTAGTGGTCTGGGAAAGTGACTCCTAGAGTCGAAGACCAGGTTGGAGCCCAGGTTTGTCCTCTAACACAGCGTGACATCCGCAAGCTGTAGCACTTCCTGGGCCGAATTGTTCCCTTTGTACACAAAGCATTAAGGCCGGCCTGAAACAACCCCAAGGCTCCTTCCACCTGGAAGCCTCCAGCTCCCGGTGGGGTGGGGGTCCGGTCACGTGTTGGCGGGGAGAGGGGTGCTGGTTGACGCGGCTCCGGGTGCAGCCTCCTCTGACGTCCTCGCAGCCGTCCTCCCTCCCTCCGTCCCCGCCCCTCTGGCGGCGGGAGAGCTGCTGGCTCGCCCTGATCCTGGGAGCTGCCTGGAGGCGGGCCCGGCCCCGGGAAGGTGCGCGGCGGCGGGACCCAGCCCCGCGCTGGGAGCGGGCACCATGGTGCTGTCGGTGCCAGTGATCGCGCTGGGCGCCACGCTGGGCACGGCCACCAGCATCCTCGCGCTGTGCGGGGTCACCTGCCTGTGTCGGCACATGCACCCCAAGAAGGGGCTGCTGCCGCGGGACCAGGACCCAGACCCGGAGAAGGCGAAGCCCGGCGTGCTCCGGTCCGCACAACAGGTGAGCGTGGGGCGGCGCGCGGGCCCTCCCGGGGCGAGGGGCGAGGCGGGGTCGCCAGGCAGCTGCAGAGGGGGAAATGGGGTGGGAGGCGGGCGTGGATCTTTGCACGACAAAGCTTAGAGGGGAGGGGGGACAGCAGAGGCGCTGGAGGACAGGCCAAGGAGTCAAAAAGGTAGGGCGATGGGAGAAGCTGGGGGATGGGGGAGACGTGGAGGAGAATTAGGGAGGGGTGTTCTTGTGGGGACTGAGAGAAGAATGGGGGCCAACAGAGAGCTAAAGGGAGGGGATAGGAAAGGGGACTTGGATAAGAATTAGGGCTGGGAGCGGTAAGAGGGGAGGGAGGTTGGGAGGGCAATCACCAGGGTTATAGAAGACGCTGAGAGGAACTAGAGAATGAGGAGCTTGCAGAATTGGGAAGAGGACTGGGGACTGTGAGAGGGAGGAGGGTGGTGATTGTGGAGCCAGGGTCGGGCAAGCTCTGCCAGAGCTGAGAAGAGAGAATGCCTGGAAAGCCAGAGGGGAGGTGGCTACTGTCCTGCAGGAGCTGGAGAGCTGGGGGTCTGGAGAGGGGAATCCCAGAGGAGCCTGAAGGGTTCTCCCCCACCCCCCAGCAGCTCTGAGCTCCAGCCGGTCAGAGGGGGTTGCTATGGCCTCCCCCAAGATGTCTCTGCAGATATCCCTGGAGACAGGAGAGCTTTTATCCCGTGCATTTGCTGACGGCCAGAGCCCCTTTGTGCAGGAAACAGGCGTGTTCCCGTTGTAAAGAGCAGCAGGAGGGGTCTGGGGAAGCGGTTTGGAAGGATTTCCCTGCATAGGCTGTGACCTCCAGGATGCATTTCTGCAGCGTGCAGAATGTTCTCTAGAGAACCAAGAGGCAGAGTCTTGCAAGAGTGATTTGAGGAAGGCTGGCCCTGGGGCTGGGGCATGACTTAAAGGCTCTCCTAAAGGCCCTCTAGATCCCTTACGGACCACGTCGTTCCAGGAGTGACACTAAAATGCTGTGGCTCCATCTTCCTTTTTCCAATCAATAATTCAAAAGCTCAGAGGACGCAGTTGTGTGTGGCCCATGTCAGTCACTGTACAGGGAGAGTGAGAGGAAATGGCTGCTGTCCTTGAGGGAGGCACTTATGGTCCAGGAACAGTGACATTGACACTGGCTAAACAGGAACAGGCTGCACAGCAGGATGTGGGACTGGGACGATCTGGAAATGGGAATAGTGGACTCTCCACTGGCCAGAGGTTGGAGGCCCTTCTCCAGAAGTTGGGGCCGGCCTCTCAACCTTCTCTGCTGTCCAACATACTTGAGGAACAGCCACTCTCCTGCCTTTCAGTGATGTCCCTCCAGGCATCGTCCCCTCCCCTTCCCAGAGAGAACCACTGGGAAAGTAGTTGATGTAAATGACCTCTAGGGTCTCTTCCAACTCTTTGTCTTATTGATGACCAGTAGTCCACAGAATGGCTGATCATCTGTTAAAGACAAACCAGATTATGTCTCTTCCCTGCTTCAAATCCTCCACAACTTCTCACTGAGCTTGGAAGAGGTCACAGCAAACCATGACGTAGCACACACTGTGTGCCAGGCACACGGTTCAGAGTGCTTTACACTAATTGGTGCATTTCATGACCCAGTGAGGGAGCCATAGAATGATCCTAACTTAAAGATGAGGAAACTGAGGCTCAGAGAAGGTAAGCAACTTGCCTGCAGCTGCGCAGCTAGAGAAGTTGTAGAGCCAGACTCTGGCTGAGCAAGTCTGATTCTGGAGGCCACGCTGTTAGCCACTCCTCTCCATCTCTCACCTTCTTTGACATGGCAGGTGTCTGCCTCTCCAGCCAAGCTCATGTCAGTTTCTTCCTTCATCAGCAGTCTTGGCCTCTCTGGATTTACGATCATTCTTTAAGGACACCGAGCTCTTTCCCGCCCTTTCATTTTTCTCTGGCCTTTCATACACGTAGCTCCTTCTCATCCTTCAGGTCTTTTTCTGTTTGAAGTCTCAGGGAGGATTTTGCCTACTGACACATGAAACAAAACACCCCCTTCCTGTTATCCTATCCCATATTGTTCCTGTCAAATCTTTTTATGGCACTCTTTATACTAGGAAGCAATCTTTCATATTCACTTACTGGTCTAATATTTATTCCCAGCACCTACTCAGTGCCTGAAAACTAGTAGGTGTCCAATAAGAAATTGTGGATGAATAAAGTCATCTCAGGGACCATCGGGGGATGGGGGGATTATTGTCTTCAAATGTGGGTGCATGTACTATGTCTTTGTAACCAAGTGCCAGCTCAGTAGGGGCACAATAAATATTTGTTGATGTGTGGTACCTGCCCATCCACATTCCCTTACCTGGTTCCCTCAGTGACAAGGATTTGGGCAAGTTGGGGCTGAATCCATAGGCATGAATCTGTTGAAGCTGAGATCTCACCATGACTTGATTGCCACTGTTCTCAGATTTGTTCAGCCAATGGCCCAGTTGAAGTAAACAGAGAAAAGACAACCAATTGACATTTCAACGAAAGTAAAGAAGGTGGTGTTAGGGGTGGCAGACAGACAGGACGATGATGTATGTGGTACCTGCTGACAAGGAGAGCAAGAGCAGGGAAGCTCTCTGAGGATGTTCCTTAAGGAAAAAAGGTATGGGGCTGGAGAACAGGGGTCTGGATGACTGTAATCCCAACAGAGGTTTCCAAGGCTTAATAGCCAGAGTCTCTGTAACTCACTATTTGTGGCTGCTGGAAAAATTCTTTGGGTTTGGAGGCCATTACTAGAAATATGATTTCTCACCCTGAATGGCTGGATGAAGTTGAAGTTTCTAGTGATTTTGAAAAGAACTCGGAGTTTTCCCAGGGGTTTTGTTTGTTTATTTTTTTTGAGACAGGGTCCGACTCCATTACCCAGGCTGGAGTGCAATGGTGTGATCATGGCTCACTGAAGCCTTGACTTCCTGGGCTCAGGTGATCCTCCCACCTCAGCCACCCAAGTAACTGGGAATACAGGCACATGCCACCATGCCTGGCTAATTTTTTTGTAAGTTCTGGGGGGGGGGGGCCTCATTGTTGCCTAGACTGGTCTTGAACTCCTGGGCTCAAACAAGTTGCCTGCCTTGGCCTCTCAAACTGTTAGGGTTATAGGCATGAACTACTGAGCTCGGCCCCCAGGTGTTCTTAATCTGGTTACACAAACCTGCCACCAAGGGGTCTGTAGATAGCATTTAAAGGTTGTGGTCTTAGGTAGGAAAAAACTTACGGCCGGGGGCGGTGGCTCAAGCCTGTAATCCCAGCACTTTGGGAGGCCGAGACGGGTGGATCACGAGGTCAAGAGATCGAGACCATCCTGGTCAACATGGTGAAACCCCGTCTCTACAAAAAATACAAAAAATTAGCTGGGCATGGTGGCGCGTGCCTGTAATCCCAGCTACTCAGGAGGCTGAGGCAGGAGAATTGCCTGAACCCAGGAGTCGGAGGTTGCGGTGAGCTGAGATCACGCCATTGCACTCCAGCCTGGGTAACATAGTGAAACTCCGTCTCAAAAAAAAAAAAAAAAAAAACCTTACATCATTATTTTCACTTACCTCTAACTGAAATAGTATTTTCTGTAAGTAGGAGTAGCAACAGAAACCACAATGTATTATCTATACCTGTGACTTTGTCCCCAAGGGAAGTCACAGATAGCTTGGTAGCACATTACAGCTCTTGCAGATGGTTCACATTAGATTTACGCTCATCTCTCATTCTAAATTATGGTACTTATTAAATCTCCTGCTAGACTCTGTTATTTAATGAATTAATAAAGAAGCAAACATATAGCTACTTCACAATTTGGTTTTATTAGATAGTCCTTTGTAGCCCTGAGTCTTTTATTTTCTGCTTTTTCCAGCAATTCAGAGGAAGTGTCCCTAGGCAGCCCTCGGCCATTTATTACCTCTCACGCCTCCAGCTGGCTTCAAGTTACAGTTCTTTGCTTTACTGAAATCCACACTCTGGACCCTTTATCCTGCCTTCTTAGACGGTGCCTCGCTCTCACTCTTGTGCAGTCCTTCCAGGCACGCAAGGAATTCAGTCTTACTATGCCGCCCACTCCTGGCCTGGCCGGTCACCTGGGACCTCTCTGTCATCAGCCTGGCTCTAGAAGCTTGATCATGAGGCAGTGACCTAGCAGCTTGAGCAAGGAGACAGAGCAGGGGGGCAAAGCGAGCATGATGGTTTCTCCTTCACCGTTACTTCTGAATCTACTAGTGAGCAATGGCCAGACCCGTGGGTTCCTGCCCCTGAATTTCCTCATCACGCTTGTCCACACAGGCTGCCACTCAGCCCACTTCTGGGTCCTTTCGTAGGAAGTCCTCCTTTGCCCAACCTAAAGAACTTGGGAGCGAGCTGGGAGAACCGCTCTTTTCCCTCACCCCACGCCTCAGTCCTATACCCCTACCACTTGGCAGCCACCCGTGCCCTGTTTTCAGAAAACCTTCCTTTGCGTGGCCTAGTTTTCTCCCCACATGGCACTTACCTTGCTGTGCACTTAAGTGAATCTTTTCAAATGCCAGAGAGGTCCCCTGGGTGACCCCAGTGCTATTTCTTTGAAGCTAACACGTGGCCAAAGGCTTTATTGAAATTACTTGGCCCTCAGCAGGAGTTGCCACACATTTTTTTAAGACAGAGTCTCGCTCTGTTGCCCAGGCTGGAGGGCAGTGGCATGATCTCAGCTCATTGCAACCTCCGCCTCCTAGGCTAAGGTGATTCTGCTGCTTCAGCATCCTGAGTAGCTGGGATTATAGGCATGTGCCATGATGCCTGCCTAATTTTTTGTATTTTTAGTAGAGGTGGGGTTTTGCCATGTTGGCTAGGCTGGTCTAAAATTCCTGAGCTTATGTGATCTGCCCATCTTGGCCTCCCAAAGTGCTGGGGTTATAAGTGTGAGCCACTGCTTCTGGTCCCCAGGCCTGTTCCATCCACACCCTCAGCTTCCCACTGTCACGTGTGACCAAACTCTACAATCCCATCCT